GAAAAAGCATATGCATATAGTTATTTTTTCAATTCTTCTTTCAAAGTGGAATATAATATATGTTATTTTAACACTATTTTAATTTAATTTATAATGTAATAAAACTATGATAATCAAAATTATGTTTGCTAACTGGGTAGTATATGTTGGCCAATGACTAGTGGGAAATAATACTGTTTTTTTTCCTTTTTGGGAAACAAAATGTGGTAACATGACGTTATATTTATGAAACCACTTATGGGGTACGTGCCACAACATTTTACATTTCTGCTGGAGCATTCTTATGTCTGTGAGTTTTATCTGATAATCTGACCCAAAAGATTGATATCCCAATCAACTGTCACCCAATGTCTCGCTTCACCTGAGTGCTTTATCTCTGAAACAACAATGTTTCTACTATTGGTCTCTTTTTTTTTTGCAAACCAGAATATGTTCCACGGACCATGAACATTGCAAGTGATTGCAATACTTGTCCTATTGTTCTCATTTGTGTGTGCATTTGGAGGTCTGCCATTTTGTGCTCTTCAGAACCATAGTTGCATCTGAACATTCGAACACAACCGGATTCGAATGGGTATCGAACGTTTAATACCCGTTTAGCTCTTTTTTTGAATGGGTATAATGGTTTTCAGTTTTAATATAATTAAAAATTAATTAACTGATACTAAACAAAGTTTAACATAATATAATATAGGTTTAATCTAATCTTCATCCTCCGAATCTAGAACATCATCACCACTAGCACCGTCGTCATCAGGTTGTTGAAGAGGTTCTTCAACAACCTCCTGACGTGCAAGGATCCTTTGCCACTGAGGCTCAAGCTCAAGGTTATCAAGATCATGCTCGATAAGCCTCAAACTCCCGGACTTGATCTTCTGTGCGACATGCATATTTGTGTGCACAAAAACCAGCTTCTCCGAGTTTTTGGAGAGAAGTCGAGACCTCCTCTTTTTCTGGATCATGCTCCATGAGCTCCAGTTTTGCTCGCATGGTGAAGCACAAACTAGCTGACTCAAGATCCGTAAAGCAAGCCTTTGAAGTTCTGGTGTGCCTGCACCAAAGTTGCTCCACCAACTCACCGGGTGTTTCTGGTTCTCCATCTATACAAGAGAATCAATCTAAAAAGTTGACAAACAAACAATTTATACGCACTTGCTTTGCTGCCTCTGAAGAGAACAAACAGCCAAGTTATTGATGGAAACTCTAAAACTCATGCAGCAACTTGTGCTGAAGTCCTCGATCTCCTTTGCAATACAACTCTAGGTACTCCACAAAATCTTCCTAAGCCTCCTGGTCAAGAGGGAGATGAAGAAAAGCTGGGTTTAGAACAAAAGCAGCTCCATGCAAGATCGAATGCATCTGGAACCAACGAGCTGCTTTCCGACCTCCCTCACCATGATCCTCCATCATGAACCTGTTGATCTCCTCAACCTCTTCCTCGGTTAAAATCCCAGTCTCAACAGCCTCTGAAAGCTTCTCATTCATCCGGTCCATAGTCTCGAAAATGAGACCGGAAGTTGCCCCCTCCCGGTCCGCAAGCTTCAAGACCTTGAGGAGCGGTCCAAGCAGCACCAACAAGTGCTGGCACCTAGTCCAGAAAGAGTTCGGAGTCTCTTCTAAGATCCAAGTCCAATCGCTACCACTTAGAGCTCACAACCATCTCCTTCAATGCCTCCAAGGTCGTCAGATTCAGGAGCTGAGACATCACTAGAAACATGTAAGCGAACCTTGTGCTCACCAGCTTGATGAGATCCCGATTGCTCAGCTTCCGAAACAAAGCCAGAACACGAGGTTTTTTGGTGATAAAAGTTACCACCTTGTTGCAGCCTTTCACCAGTGGTTTTACCCACGACAAGCTCCCAATGTCTTCGAACACACATCGGCTGTGGAGAATGTGAGGATACTCAGCTGTCATGACTTCTCCCATCTGCACACAGTTTGATGCATTGTTAGTGATCACCTGAACAACGTTTTCTTCGCTAACTTCTTGAATCACTTTCTTCAGCTCGACCCAAATCCACTCTCCCATCTTTGTCCTGCCCTCGGAATCTACAGACTTCAAGAAAACCAAACCCTAGACATTGGAGGCCATGAAGTTGATCAAGGATTGGCTACAGTTGTTAGATCAGCCATCGGTGATGATGCTAACTCCATATCTTCTCCACCCCTCACGGATTGCATCAAGTCAAGCATTGACACTATCATAAAGCTTCTTCAACTTTGTACTCCACAGCTTCTCATATCCCATCATCTGTGCAAGAGCTCCAAGGCCGAAGTTGATAGCAGCTTGAAGCAACTTCCTCAGATTTGACCTCCGAATGGTGTTGAAAGGGATATTTTAAACGTAGAAGAACTCGGCCACGGCATCATCCAGACATTGAACCTTTGCAGACTTCATCATCTTTCGAATGTCACCATCCAGCACCGGTGCAGCACTTTGTTTAAGACTGCTGCTCCCGTAAAGTGGAACGTTGCTGCTGCTCGCCTTGCCAAGCCCTCCGGTAGCACCACCACTTGCCCTGCAGCTGGCACCACCGCTCACCTCACCAACCTTAGTCTCGTGAGCTAAGGCAAGTCTCTCTTGGGGACTTGCTGCAATCATGGAGCTCTTTGTGAGCTCCACACGATTAAAAGATGCCCAAGCCTTGTTCACCACCTCCAGTGGCACCTATCCTGTACAAATCTCTACATTCCTTCCTTTCACACCCCCAAGGTGAGCACGAACTCGTTCAGCCGCGCCGGTGTAAGTATTCGAGCAATACTTACACTTCCATGGATTCACGCCATGGCTTGTCTCGGATGTCGGCTTCAGTTTCAGAACATGAGCCCAGCTCCAGCATGGCTGCCTTCCTCCCCCCCATCCCGGACTTACCTCAGCGCTTCCGGATCCTGCGAACCCTGATTTTACATGAACCCTAATCCTAAGTAAAAGAAAGCATATTCTTTAGGGTTTTTTAAAAATATTTCTTGGTGTTTAAATGCTATTTTAAATGCCGTATTATACACGCATTTTAAATGGCATTTTTTATTAATCGTACCCGTTAGAATGCAAGTATGCATCAAGCAATCCAGAAGCTGTGCGATGGATGACATCAGGGATGTGTGGCTCTAGAGATGCATACCTTCTCGTTGATGAAATCCGTCCAGAAGCGATACTCTGCGCGGAGGAGAGCGTCTGGAGGCAGCAGTGGAGATTCTCTGCGCTAGACCTTGTCGATGTACTGAACAATAATGACTGATTCCACAATGGGCTTCCCATTGTGAATGAGAACCGGGACCTTCTTGTGGATTGGATTGGATTCGAGCAGGAGCTGGCCTTTGTTCTTCAGGTCCTGGGGGAGATCATCGTGCTCGATGCCTTTGAGTAGCAATGCAATCTTTACTCGCAGAGAAAAGTGGCTCACCCGGGAGCTGAGCAGCGTCACGCCTTCCATGGATCCGGAATGGATTGGAAAATGAGGTCTCGAGAGAACAGTAGAATTCTAGAATGCGATCAATCCAAACAGTAGTGACATTGTCATTATGTTATCTGATCAATGTTTTAGCTATCAATATGCTCAATCAAGATATGGCTGGAAAAGTGTTATTCATGCAAAGGTTTCTACTTATTTCGGATTAATTCCTTGAGCTTCTCGACCGGGGGCAGTGCGCCCTTGGCAGCGGGATGCTCGGACACGGCCTCGAAGAACTTGTGGAGACGCGGGCACTGCTCCTCGCTGGCATGCTTCAAGCCCATCACTCCCACAACCCCGGGGGCGTAGGGAGCGAGCATCACATCTAAGAAGGAGAAGCTCGCGCCGCCGAAGAAGGGACCCTCTTGTTCACTCCCCAGCTTCGTCAAGGCCCCCTCGAGAAGCACGCAGTTGGCGATGAATTCCTCGTTTGCGGCATCTTTGTCGTTCCCGCGCACGAAACGCATCAAGCAGTCCAGCAGCTGTACAAGCAAAGGCGTGAGATCGAGTAGATTTCTCGAGATTTATAGAACATACCTTCTTGTCGATGAAATCGGTCCAGAAGCGGTGCTCTGCGCGGAGGAATGCGTCTTTTGGCAAGAGTGGCGATGTTCCAGGCCAAACCTCGTCGATGTAGTGGACGATGATGGCCGACTCTGCGATGGGCTTGCCCTTGTGGATGAGAACCGGGACCTTCTTGTGAACTGGATTGGACTCGAGTAGGATCTTGCTCTTGTTGCCCAAATCCTGGGGGAGATCTTCGTGCTCGATGCCCTTGAGCAACAGTGCAAGCTTGGCTCGCATCGAGAAGGGGCTGGCCCAAAAGCTGAGCAGTGTTACATCTTGATCACTAGAAGCCATTGGAAATGGAAATCGAGAAGAAAGATCTGGAATGCGAGAGGCTGGAGAAAGGTTTGTTGGAGTCGCGCTTTATATGGGAGCGAGGGGAGTTCCAGAACATAATTTGTACCTTCGTTAGGCCACGATTGACTGGGAAGAGATATTCGAGAAGAAATCTTCGTGAATGTCGGTAGAACACTTAAGTTTTTAACCCGGTTATTCCACCCTGTTCACTGTTTGATTTAGAAAGATCCTTAGAATCCCGGCTTCAAGACAGCAGAAGAATTTGATTTTGTCAACTGAGATCTTGCACTGGTAGATCAAAGCGACCACAGTTTGTTAGACCGAAGCCAAAGATCACGATCGAGTGTCGCTAGAACACAAGTCTGTGAATAGCATCAGGTTATTCCGAGAGCCACCACCCGGTGCCGCTGCCTTTCTCGCCGCGTCCCTGAATTCCCTCGCTCTCGCCTTTCGAGCTTTGTCGCTGAAGATCCTCGCAATGGCCTCAGCAATCTCCTCCCGCTTCACAAACGCGTCGGAGCTCCTCCCGTCCGAAACTTCCACCCCGATGCGGCACCTCTCCGCCATGATCTTGCGGTTGAGCCCCTGCTCGTATATCCGAGGCCAGCAGATGATCGGCACGCCGCTCGAGACGTTCTCCAGGACCGAGTTCCATCCGCAGTGGCTCACGAATCCAGCCACTGCCCTGTGCGCCAGAACTTCTCTCTGCGGCGCCCATGAAACCACCAGGCCTCGTCCCTTGGTCCGCTCGACGAAGTTCTTGTAGAAGTCACTGTTCTTCACCAGGACTGTCGTGTCTGCTTCGTCCACGAACTGGGGCGGCCTGACTGTGAGCAAGAACGGCACCTTGCTCGCCTCCAAACCGAGCGCGAGCTCCTCGAATTCCTCCTGCGACAGCTTCGCTATGCTGCCGAATGCGACATAGAGGACTGAGTCTGGCTCCTGCGTGTCGAGCCAGTCGAGGCATTCCCTGTCCTCCTTGAGAAAGCTCAGCACGGACTTCAAGTCGCCGTGATCATCCAGCACCGGGAACAAGGGACCGATTGGCAGAAACTTGTCGTTGAAAAGCTTCTTCATCGCGTCCACCACCTCGGGCTCCAGCTCGTGGAATGTGTTACACAGGATCCAGGAGGACGCCTTGAGTCGCTCGGCTCCAGCACGAAAGTACTCAAGGACGGCTTCCGTGTAGTGCCATGGAAGATCAGACTGCTTGATCGAGTCTATCCCCGGAATGTAAGTGATTTCTCGGTCCTCGCCATCTGATTTTAAACAAGACAAAGATTTAGAGCTATAAGAGTTGACAAAGACAAACCTTTTATCGGAAGATCGCCTTCGGAAATAAGTAGTGGGACGTGGTACTCAACAGCAAACCAAGCCGCACTTCCAGGCCAGTAAACAGCGTATGGAATTCCAAATTCGCTGGCGACTGGAGCACACCATGATCCAGCATAGTGATCAGAGATTATGACGGTAACGCGAGGTCCACTGCCATTCAGAGCTTGGATCAAATTCTTGAACTCGCCGCCGAGATCGTAAACTGCTCTTGAAAAGCGCATTAGATCAGCTTCTGCAGCAGCGAGAACTCCTTTCGACAAATCCACCGCGGGATGAAGAGGCTCCAGCCTGATATCCAACTCCGAAGGAAAATCCCATACCTTGATCTGCTCATGAATGGAAACCACGTTGGCGATGGTAACTGCGCATCCGAGTTCTGCCAGCTTCTTGCCGAGGAACACAACTGGCGAAAAGTGCCCCTGAGCAGGATACGGGACGAGTACCACATGTGGTTTGCCTGCAAAAATCATATTGTCAATGCAGTTTCTCTAGAAGAAGAAGAAAGAACGAACCTGAAGCGCTATATTTTGGTGGAGTAGGCCAGCTGACACACCGAAGCCCGTTCCTCGCCCTTCCACGTTGGCCTTTTCCGGAAAGAATCATTCTTCCGTCTCGGGGAAAACGAGTGGACACTTGTCGCAGGTTCCTGCCTTCAGTAACTCTCTGGCAGCGTCATCCAGTAGAAAGCTGAAAATCTCCTTCGCAATTTGCACTGCTATTCTCTGTAGCTCCTCCTCTGTGCCTGCCCAGTTTGCCTCTTTACTAACATCTCCCTGGTGAAGGCCTTCGACTGACTGCTGCTGGAGGCCTGTGTTATGGCATATCTCACTCCAAACGTCTCGCAGAAGTCCCCGGCTCGAAGGCGTACAAGACTTCCGAGCCAAAATCTCGTTGACGACGTCGAAGAGAAACCGGCGATGAGATAAATTGTCAGGATTTCCTTGGTAGTCTGCTTCCAGCGTCTGAAAAACTTGAGAAATAGCCACAGACCTTCGACTGCCACACTCATAAAGGGGCGGATTCTTGGACGCCAAAAGTACCTTAGAAACGTAGACAAGATCTGCTAGACGAGTATCAGCCACAGGTTTCTCTGTGTTTACTCCCCGATTCGGTGCTTTTAAAAATCGACGAGTTTCTGCAAGACACCACGTTAATTCAGAGAAAGAAAAACTTGTTCATAGGTAGCATTACCTCCCGAGTGTCTTTTGCGAAGTTCCAAAATAGAAGACACTGGACTTGTCTGCTGTGAAGAGAGCAACGCCTCGCTCGCATTTCCAGTGGCCTGAAAAAATTCGTCATCGAGAGAAAGACAATCTTGGAAACCATACCTCTACGATTTCAACTTGAGGGGCCAGTCGTGTATCATAAACTTCAGAAAAGGTTCTCTGTTCTAGCGTGTCTCCAGGCTGGTCTTCGTCCACGAGACCCTGCTTTCTCGAAAGTTTTATTGGCGTCGTTTGGTATGCTGGCGAAGAAGTCGTAAGATTCGCACTTTCCAATCTTTGATGGCAACTGATATATCGTCTCAGTGTCGGGGTGGAAGCGTCTTGGATGTCCAGTGGCGTCCGTTCCGGCGACGGCAAATGCGAGCTGACGTCTCTGAAAGCACTCTCCCGAGCCTTCCTGGCGATCTCTTGAGCGATTTCTTTCGCATCCTTGGAGCCATCTCTGAGGCGATGTTTAACGAACTCCCTGGCAGATTGCTGCTGCGTTTTGGTTTCGGTGACAGCGTGCAGTACTTTCTCCCTGGCTGGAGAGTCGGGTTCAAACTCCCCCCTGTGAAATCGCGGTTGCGTTTCAAAGACTTTGTTGCTGGTTGTTTCCCGAAAATCTGGAGAGTGCGGCTTGTTGATCATCACCTTCTCGTGAAATTGTCTAGTTTCTCTTGTGCTAGCATGTACTGGTGGAGAACAGGACCCTGTTTCTTGTCTTCCCTTTGCCGGACCAGGCTTCAAAACTACAATCCTCGTCGAACCATTGTCAATAGAGACTTTCTTTCGACTTTCAGCACGTTGCCCTTCATGTCCGTTCAACAAGAGATGAAAAAGAGTTGGCGTCTTCAAAGGCTCCTCATTCACAGGCTCCACTGGATTTTCAAGCTGGAGAAAGCTGTCCTTACTCGGCTCGAGAGACCGCATCGCTTCGAAAAGCTGCCGGGATCGGTGTGTAACCCTCGGAGAGTAATTCGGTGTTGTTCCCTCCCGGAAAGTCTCGCCCAGCACTGACTTTGTGGCTCTTGAAAACTGGCCAGCTTCTTGCGACTGTGTCTCACCCGAGAGTTTGCGCGAGACAGCTTCTATCATCTTCGCCCTTTCCAACGAAGAGCCGTTCCTCTTAAGCATGTCACCCATTGTCTCCACCGGCATTGTCTCGAGACCCATAAGTCTTGCCACTACACCGGGTGGTTTTACTTTTGCGCACGTTGAAAGAACGCTATGCTTCGCAGCTGGAATCTCAAAGCCAAACTGGAAGATCATATGGTGAGACACACGAATAGAAAGAAAAAATAAAAACGAAGAACACTCTAAAAGACTTACGGGGATGTCTTCGTGAATCCATCGAGAACTCGAGACTGGACAATCCAGGCTATTCCTCGGAGCTTCGACTCCTGGAAGAAAAATCTGAGGGGCTCGATCGACACGCAAGAAAAATCAATGCCGGTTTCGTATACCTTCTCGATTCCTCCTGCAAGATCGATTGGTGCTCCCGGAGGAGAAGATCCCGAATATCGGAGTGCTCATGCCTTGTACCAAACGATAATCTACCTCAAGATCCATCAATCCCTGACATTCTAGCATGCGCGCTTACTTTGGAATGGAGAATCCCTCGCCCGGCGCTCGCGAAAGAGCTCCTCGATCGCGAACAAAGGAATGATATAACGAGGAAGACCTAGAAAGAAGAAAACGTACCTTTGGAAGAGCGCAAATTGAAAGCCTCTTACCCGCCGCCAAATTTTACACAACGACATTGACCGCTGGTAAATTCTGGAGACTTTTACCATGCTCAGATGTCCCCTAGTACACAATGCGTTATCTCGTGAACAGTGTGACGAATATTCTATTAGGGTAGGAAAAAAATATTTAACTTGATTGTAAAGAGTATTTGGAGGAATATTGTACAATGGTTACAAAATATTCTAACTTGGAACTTACCGCAGGTAATATGGAAACTTCGTCAAAGAAGCGTTGATTCTCTGTATTTTCTCCACAAAATACTTCTTCAGTAAACCTGTCCCGACACTTTTCTATACTCGAAAGCTTCCCTTGTGTATAAGGCCAATTGTCGACGAGCGCGCTTCCTTTATATAAATAGCTAGCTTGCTATCAGTGTCTCTTCATTTGTGTGGAGAGAGCTCAAGGTTTGTTCTTGCGATGGGATGTGGGCGTCGCACTTCAGTCTCAATCCTAGGTTTGCTGATGCCGAAATACTCCGAAGATTGTATGTGAATTTTCTTCTCATCCATGCTAAAATTCCGGGATTTTCTCTCTTCGTCCAGGAAATGGTAAATTAGGACTGACTTTTGCGGAGAGTCCCGGCGAATGTAAAGAATATCGCTGTTCCTCACGGCACTGTCAACTGGTGGTCTAACTCTGGCACTTCAAAGTTTAGTGTTTTGTGTCTCGGAGAGCCTCAAAGCTGGAGAATTCACTGTAAGTCCTTCTTGGATTTTTGTTTTTAGCGCTGAACTTCTCAAAGGTTTGATTGCTCCATAGCCAGAAGGAAGAGAGGATTGTTTTGCTCAATGCTGGAGACAACCGATTTGAGCAACTCTTCTTATGGAGAGTATGCTTACAACTGCGAGGAGGCAAAGCTCGACGTGGATATAAAAAACGGAGGCAGAGTTTCCGTTTTATCCAGCGATAGCTTGCCAATTTTCAAGCACGTCGGTCTTGGTGCTGAGCTCGTCAAGCTGGATCCGGTAAGTTTTAGCTGATCACTTGGATCTTATAGTCACATCCGTGGATTTCTTGCAGCATGCGATGTGCTGGCCAGGATTTTCCTCCGACTCTGCGTACCACGAGTCCAAGTCGTGAACCAAAATGGCAAGAGAGTGATCGATCATATGCTCGGTGTTTACCATTGTTTATTCGAAATAAATTCTAGGGTTTATCATCGCATCAGCGCGCGTTATCCGAAACTACAATAATGAGATTCTTGGCAATTAGGACAGGAGATTTGTTTCCAGATTTCTAGCATCGAGGATCCGTGCCAAACTCTAGATCAATCAATTGGAAAGAGGAAGCTGAAAGAATGGAAAGTTTGGCAAAGAAGCGTGGGCGGGAGCAAACATTCTTGTGACGATGTCTCGAATCAACGGAGGGAAATTTTCGAACGCCTGGAAGGTAGAGCCAAACTTTTTGATCCTTGGTGACAAAACTATGCTCTCCAGGACTTTGCTGGATCCTAAAGTTATCACAGCCGATACGAGAACTTATAGTACTACGGACAACGCTCATCAGGTCGAGAGAAGCGCTTGCCACGCGGCGCTAAAGTCGTGCTTCAGAGCTAGAGATGTCGAAAGAGGCCGGCAAATCCACGCGAACGCGAAAGAAAGTGGTGAGGATTCGGACTCTCACGTAGCCAGTAGCTTGGTGGCGATGTACATGAAGTGTGGCAGCGTAGTGGAAGCACAGCAGGCCTTCGACAGGATTCCTCGCCCCGACGCAGTGTGCTGGAACGCTTTGATCTCGGGCTATGCGGAGAATGGCGAGGCCAAGGTGGCCTTGCAGCTCTTTCGATCGATGCAATAGTGCTGCGGAGCAAACTCACGAACTTTGCCGCTGCACTCGCTGCGTGCTCCACTCTCGCCGAAGAAGGCCGGAAAGTTGATGGGAGGATGGTGAATGTTTTTTTGCTGCATCGAGGCATGGAAGTTCATCGTCAAGCTGAGGCTGGGATGGGAATAGATGCAATCCATCGTAACGTCTACGTGGGGAATGCTCTCATCGACATGTACGTGAAGTGCCGGAGCATGGTGCGTGCTCAAGAGGTGTTCGACAGGATGAAAACTCGGGATGTGGTCTCTTGGAACGTATTGATGCTCGGCTACGCATAGGATGGTGAGAACGAGGAGCTAGCTCTCGAGATGTTTACGAAGATGGTGTCTGTCAGCTTGGTAGCTGGAGTGTTGTCGCTGCTCTCCAGGCCTGTAGCAATCTCGCAGCCAAGGAAGAAGCTCGGAATCCACAAGAGAAGCTCAGGTTTCTAGTAACGGGTGTGGCGATCTATGGCATTTGCCTGCTGCGGGCAAATGCGTTCCAGAAGAAAACATTTCCATCTTCCATTTTGTGGAGGACACCCAAGGCATCCGCGGCGCGCCCGCACTTTCCATACATTTCCATGACGAAATTCGCGAGGAATCTGTGACGATCAGAGCAGCGTCTCCTCCTCGTCGTCAAGAACAATGCAGAGTTTTCGACCGTGTGAAGCATCGCGACGTTGTTATCTGGAACACAGTGATCTCGGGATACACACAGAACGACGAAAGTGAGGCTGCTCTAGAGCTGTTTGAGGCTCTCTTGTGCGATGGTGGTATTTCTCCAACCAGCTTGACAGTCGTCGCGGCTTTCAAGGCTTGCGGCAGTCTTGCAGTCAAGAACAAAGAAAGGGATCGAACGAGAGCATTGGAAATCACCATAGTTGTTCATCGTGAAGCTGTGACGAAGCTGGATGCCTCCGAGTGGGACGCTTACATGACGAGAAGCGTGATCGATGCGTACGCCAGGTGTGGGAGGCTGGGCAATACCGGTCAGCTTCGCAACGTGGTCTCGTGGAACGTCTTGATCCTTGGCTTCGCGGAGAACGGCGATGCTAGACGGAGATCTCAGGTTGTTCCACAGGATGAGACGCGAAGGCTGCCGACCAAACGCATCAACGTACGTCGCGGTGCTGAAAGCTTGCAGCATTCGAGTCTAGAGCTTGGGAGCAACGTCAAGGCTCTGATCTACCGTGGAGGCATTGAGGAAGATGGAGTTTTGGCTGGAACCCTGGTTGACTTTCACGGCAAAGCTGGAGACATGGTTTCCGCTCGCCAGCTATTTGACTCGCTAGCGGGAGATGGTGACGAGGCCTGGAGTGCGCTGATCGCCGGATACAGCAGGCAAGGGGACGCAAGCCAAGCGCCGACGCTGTTTTACGAGATGGTAAACTCTGGCATCAAACCGCATGGTATCACAGCTCTCGCAGTTCTAACCACGGTGGTTTCGTCGAGGCAGGGAAGAAGTTCTTCCAAGAAATGCCATCCAAATACGGCATTGTCCCCGAAGTGGAGCAGTTCCACTGCGTTGTCGATCTTCTCAGCAGAGCAAACCAGCGGGAAGAAGCGCTCGCGCTGGTTCAAGGTAATGACGAAGCGGTGGAACTTTGAACCTAAAACCGCTTGTGGTGCGTGATTAGTTATATAGAGCTCTATTTCGAGAAACTTTACTACGAGCTGAGCGAGAGCGAATGGGCAAAACTTGCTGCTCTAGCTGCTCTACTATCACTCTTCTTCTCAGGTATTTCCATCTTTTGCTCGTTATGTTTCTTTTCTATTTTCTAGCTAGCTTTTGTCCAGACATGCTGGAGTCGACCGTCTTTCACAGTAGTAAATGACTGTCTCCGCAGAGGATAAGAGGCTGTCTTCCATGTTTCAGGACAAATCGTCCAAGTAGCAAGAAGTCCCTTCATCCTGGTCCCTCAAGCTTGGCCGAGTTTACATGAACTTTGAGCTCACAAGATTGTTAATATGTTCTTGGTTTTGTGTTTGTGAGGCTGGGCTTTTCAAATTCTGCTGTATTAGACATAATTATACAATATGTCCTCGAAATCTATTCTTCCTTTGTGATGTACATGATTTTCTCAAAGTACTCGCGAGGAACTACACCGTCGAAGCCTTCAGTGAGCACAACCCCATTTTCGGACATGAAAAACTTCATGCCATCCTTCATAGCTTTGGCCAAATCCAAGTATATGAGCACCTCACATTTGCTCTTCATCCCACTTATCACACCGTCTTGAGGCAAACCAGTCGCGAAATGTACATGGTTCCTCTTCATTCGCTTGAGACCTGTTTTGCGAATCCCTCTAAAGTTGTTTCGAAAGGTGCCATGGACGCACATAGGCACTTCATCAGCGGATTTGATCTCCCTTAGCAGCTCCGCTGTTTGCACAGCATCCATGGTATGACCTTGGTTAGCCCTAATGTAAAGTTGGTCGTCCTCCTCCTCGATAGTTGAGAATCTTTGCTTTGGATCGCAGGCTACCATGCTCATGACGTCGGCTACTGTGAATGAAGATAGGGGGATTCCACCGCCAATTTTCACGTCCATCTCTAGCAAATCTTTGATACTGCAATATCCGTTGCTCCGAATCTTCAAATCCATTTTGACAGCACCGTGCCTCAAAACCCATGCTATTGTCTTACTCAAACTAGGAACCTCCATGCACAAGTGTTTAACCTAACATATGACGCTTATAACTTTTCAATCAGGAATATACTTAAAAAGGTTGGTTACCTTTTTAGTCTTGGTCGAGGAATAAACCAGAGTTACATGAACTTTGAGCTCGTCAGCAACAAGATAGATGGCAGTTTGAATCGGAAAAGCCAAGCTGAGAGATCTTTCACAGGATCATCAGCAGCTTACTGACGAGATAAAGATACGAGCGATTGCCATCCACAAGCGTCCCAAGCCCGAGGCTCATAGCCAGCCTCCCACACCGTCTCCAAGTCGATCAAACGCAGCCTCCACTGCTACTGGCTCTTCTTGCGACGTTCTGCAGCAGAAGCTGGCCGCTGATACTGCAAGGCCTCCATGGTGATCCTGTACGTGTCCCTCTCGAGCATCACCTTGCCGCCGATTACACCTTCGGCCTGGTGACACCAGGCCAGAAGCTCGAGGGAAATTGATGCGTTTGGTCGACAGCCTTCGCGTCTCATCCTGTGGAACAGCCTCAGAGCTTGTCTAGCACCACCGTTCTCAGACGTTCCACGAGACCACGTTGAGAAGTTGGTCAATATCGCTCGAGAGAACTTTGCTGGAATCCGCCAGACTGGAATGGCGTGAATAGATATTGAACTTGCAATTCTACGTTTCACATAGCCTGGCTGCCACTACTACTGCTCCCGTTCTCTGTGTACATCAAGCAACGATTTAGTTAATACTCATGAATAAGAAACCATAGCTTACTCTAGTGGCTCTGATTGCTTGGATTTTTTACTTATCATTTCCTTTTCTGTATTGGATTCAGGTAGCGTTGAGAAGAGGCAGACCTCAGAGAGGTCTGCCTCTTCTTCTTCTTTCACACATGAAGAAGAATTCTCACCACCATAAGACGTGCTCCGGCTCCTCTTGTTTTCGTCTTTCCTGGACTCTGTCTTGGCTGTTTTCGGAAGTTACTCTCTCCTGAAATTCCGTCCCTGCACTACTGATGACAGTGTCGATATCAGCGCCAACTATTGTTGAAAAGATCACTTCCGTGCTGTCTTCTCAAAGACCAGCTCCAGAAAAGCCCTGTAGCAGATCTGCTTCCCACGAGGCTCAAATGCAGGAGCATTCTCATCGATGGCGATGAGAATGTCCTCCTCCTGAGAACCGGGAGGCGTCTGAGACGAAAGATCCTCAATGCATACCTTCCTGGCCCTGAAAAGCTCCAATCCCGACTCCAAACATTTCCTTTTCAGCTCCTTGCGAGAAGATTCGCCTGTGTAGCTCTTCACGATGATCCGATCTTTGCCCATCCGCACATAACACGATTTTACTTTTTTTAATAAATCGGTGGTTAAATATTTTGCTCAAGACAGAATGGAAATGCTCTATAAAGACAAGGAATTCATGGACATACTCGAGCTGCCTCCATGGATTAGCGAGGAAGTGCTTGACTATTATGCCCAGGAGTTTTCTCGCATGGGATTTACCACTGCCCTCAGTAGACTTGTAAGTTGTGGATCGATTTGTATCCTCTCCATCTGTTCTCCATTTTCTCCTAGATAATGAGAACTCAAAGCTTCAGTGGTGAAGATCAGCGCGCCAGCCTTGGTCGTGACCGGGGACCGTGACTTCATCCGCGATTACGTCGGCAAAGGTGGATTGAACGCCGACATTCCCAATCTCAAGGAGACGATTGTGTTGTCTGGCCACTTCCAGCAAGAGAGCGCTGGAACAGGTGAACAGCATTCTCGTCAGCTTCTTTGGAGAAATCACGATGATAACGTAACCGCGCCACAGTGCGAGAATATTCCACTTTCAAAACTAGGGTTTATTTAGGTTGGCTATGGCGGTGGAGGCGATGCGCTTGCCCAGGGCGGTGTCGCTGCGGCCTCCGCAGAGATCTTCCAAGCTCGGCACCAGCTACATTCAGGTATTTCTGTTTCTCTTATCGATCGATCGGTGATTCCTGTTTGTTTTGGCAGATTTTAGGGACTGGAATGGATTCGGAGGACACAATGCCCAGTGTTTTGCTCTTTTTTGATAACAAGCGCTTCATCTTCAATGCTGGAGAGGTACTTACGTGCCGGTTTTGTGACATAGAAAGGATTTGAAAGGTTTTTTCATTGCAGGGAATGCAACGTTTTTGTGTGGAGCACAAGATTAAACTTTCAAAGGCAAACTTATAGAAATTCTAAAGGGACTGGCTTTTCATTCTTGTTGTTTAGATTGACCATATTCTTTTCACTCGGGTTTGCTCCGAGACTTGCGGTGGTCTTCCTGGTAATCGTTTTTCTTTCTTTCTTTCCTTTCTTTGGGTCTAGATTCGATTGATTTTCTTAGCAGTATGCTGCTGCAGGGGCCTTACTGACGCTCGCTAGAGATCTCGAGGCGACGGTAACGATTTTCAGTCCTTGGAGACTGAAGTAAAAGCACCGGTTTTTTTCAGGTAAATATATGGGGTCCCTCTAAGCTTCAGTTCTTACTGAATGCCATGTCTACGTTTATCCCGAACTCTTCAATTCTACATGCGCACATCTTTGGGTCTGATACGATGCCTCAAGGAGGAACGATTATCGATGACGATGTTGTTAAAATATCTGGCACTCTTCTTCAACCTTGCAATGGCAAGAACTGCGAAGGTACTATTCTCCTAGTGGTTTGCATTTTAGTTCGTAACAGCTCTATATAATCCTGTGTAGAAAAAGAGCCTTCCGTAGTCTACGTTTGTGAGCTCCCTGAAGTGAAAGGTAGATTTGATCCAGCAAAAGCAGTGAGTTTGGGATTGCAGCCAGGGCAAAAATATGGACAGCTTCAAAGGGGTATGACTGTGGAAACAGATGATGGTGCACGGACTGTAAGCTAGCTTTGTTCATTCCTTTCGCTGGCTTATCAGATTTTGTTTTGTCTCAGATTCATCCAGACGACGTGATGGAACCGTCTACTTCTGGACCAGTCTTCATCGTTGTAGACTGTCCAACAGTCTCTCATATACCGGCTTTAACTTCTGCAGCATCATTGGAAGCATTGTATTCTTCTCCAAGAACCAAAGCAGAAGTGGTATGTGTCGTGCATCTTAGTCCTTCACCTGTGGTCGAAGATGCTGGATACAGCTGCTGGATGACAAGGTTTGCAGCTGCGCAGCATGTACTTGCAGGTCCTGGCTGGTAAGCGATCTTTCATGTCAGTGCTCCTCTTTTAATCTTCATATGCATAGTTGCAGGAGCAAAACGAGATGCCCGATTTTCAAGTCAAGTGCTTTGCTGTTGGCAAAACTGAATATGGTTTGTCCGCGGGTTTTTCCGTTCAATCTTGGAGTGGATAAAAGCGACACAAAGTTTTCAGAGGTAAAACATTCCCCTGTTTCTATCAGCACTGAACTCACGTGTTATTATTGTAGAATTCACGCGTTGTGGCTGCTCACAACCTTCTCAAGGCAAGTAAAAATTGCCAACGTTTTTTTTTATGATGGTTGTGTGCTCATCAGTTCCAGCTTCTACCTTTGCCTCTTCTGGGCTTGGAGAAATCCCCTGCCGTAGAAGATTTCAATCTCGAAGTCATCCAAACAGAGTTTCTCAATGAAATTCCAGAGCTGCTATCTATCAAACAGGACGTGAAGCTATTATACGATGAGAACGCTTTGACGACGACGGCTCCAGCATGTATAAGCTCCAAGGCAGATGACTTGGAGATAGTTTTCTTGGGGACAGGATCTATGCACCCGTCCAAGCATCGAAACGTCAGTGCCATATACCTTCATCTTTTTGAGCGTGGAGGAATGCTCTTGGATTGTGGAGAAGGCACGTATGGACAGCTGAAGAGAAGGTACTTTTCTATAGTTTTATTGTTCTACTACGAACTTTTTTTTCCTAAAACTTAATCTTCATAGATATGGGATCCAAGGCGCCGATTCGGTCCTAGCCAATCTGAAGTGCATTTGGATTTCTCACATCCATGCTGATCATCAGAGCGGACTTACACGCATACTCACGGCTCGCAAGGCCCTTTTACAAGCTCAGGGAAGAGTTCAGCCAATCCTGGTGATAGGACCAATGTTCCTCAGGCGCTACTTGACGGCTTACGAGAGACTAGAAACTCTGGCAATGGATTTTCTAGATTGCAGTCAAACAACCATCGCCGCCGGCTCATACAACTCAAAGTTCCGCGACACCTTAAGTCTGCTATGCGGAGGGAAGAGAAAGCACATTGACACTGGCGAGACGGGGTATGATTTAGCAACAGGACTTGACGCAACTGGTCGGAAGAAACTGGATCAAGTGCTGCAGGAGCTCGGCTTAAAGTCACTGCTAAGCATTCCCGTGATACACTGCGCTCACTCCTTTGGAATCGTTCTAGAGTCGGCTCAAAGTGGCTGGAAGTTCGCTTTCTCGGGTGATACAAGGCCCTGTGACGCATTTGTGGAAGCTGCAAAGGGCGCTACGATCTTTGTCCATGAGGTAAGCTCGTTACCAAAGCTATTTCTTCTCTCAAGATTTTGTTCCAGGCTACGTTCGATGACGGCTTGCTCGCGGAAGCTCTCGAGAAAAACCACAGCCTGACTTGTGAAGCGGTCCAGGCCGGGGCAGCTGCTGGAGCTTACAGGACGATTCTCACGCACTTCAGCCAGCGCTATCCTCAGATTCCAGTTTTCGACGCGAGCTACAACGAGAGAACTTGCATTGCGTTCGACATGATGAGCGTCAACTTGGTGGATTTGCCGCTGCTCCCAAAGTTGGTCCCGGTGATGAAGCTCATGTTTAAGGAAGAATGAATATACTATACGTGAATCCATCCTCCAGGGAGGAGCGAGAAGGGAAGATGGAAGCCACCGCCACAAACGTTACTAGCACAAGCGGGGGACCCAAGACTTTCAAGGCTGATTTCTCCAGGTTTGTCAGGTTTTAAGGAGCTGTATGGATCTACTCGACGTTGAAGGCAACTTGGTTTTCAAGGATAAGTTGGTACCCAAGCTATCTCTATGTCGTTCAAGGTATTGTTTCATTCCTTGATTCACACGAACAGGCTGAGCAGCAGAGACGAGTAACACATTCTCATCTCTCTCCAGTGAATAGAATGAACAAGAGCTCGGACCATGCTTTTGTTGGTGTATGTTTCTCATTCTATTTTATTCTGGATTGAAATAATCAATGGATTTCTCTTTTGGACGCGATCAATTTATCTTCTCTCTTTGGTTTGGCGGTTGTGTCAAAGTTTTAGCAAAACAGCAGTATAGATTCTGTTCAAAAAATATCTTCATACTTTTTTTGTGCACTGTCA